ACAATTATATATTAGGTAACAATACCAATATTCAAAGTACCTCCAAATAAATACAAACTCGGCATTTTGTTGAGGAAGAATTATCGGGATATGTCGACGACAATTACAATGGAAGTAAGTATTAAGATAATATTGTTGATTGTAATAGTTTTATTGTATGTATTAATACAAATATTTGATTTGTAGATAACAATAAAAACATCGACTGAAGAGATGCAATATAATATGAACATTAACCATGGTAGTCATGCCGAATACATTTTACCGTGCGCGGTCAACGTTTTGTCTGAAGATAACATTATTATCGACATTGTTACCTCCGATGTAAGTATGGTTTATTTATTATGTAAAACGTATTCATTCATTCTGACTTCGCAACATTATTTTAGTTATCGGTCGGTCTTTATTGGGTTTGTTTATATTCGGAAGAAAAGTTAAACATTTTGGAACGCAACTTGACAATTGAAACATTTCCAACTGGTGTAAAAATGATTGATAATGGCCAATTTCTTTGTTCTACTGAAAGATATGCAATATATTAACGCAACGCGAATATTGTTGTTAAGCGAGCATACGTTATTATTATTATATTATTTGTTTACTACCACGCGTACATGCTAAATTATGAAATTACACCTCTTTGTCCAACGCTATATAGGTTGAATTATTGATGTTATTCATGCAGGCAATAATGGTAGACTTTTTAGGAATAAATGATCACGTATTGACACACTAACAGAAGCACCTGCCTGACATCTATTTACATAAACTAACGCGTATTTTTTTATTGCTTTAATTGAGTAAAAACTGCGTTAGACCAAATACGACTATGTACAGTCCCGAAAATAAAATTGTTTTGTCGTCTCGAACTAATTCATAACTTTCGTGCAATTTACAATGATCTTAAGTACAATGACAAATGGAGGCGTACAAGACCGTCATCGCAGTTACGTAGAATATAATGTACTAAGACGTGATAGAAATTGTATATTAACAGCCTTGTGCCTTGCTTTGTCAAGAAAGATACGCATCAATGTAGACATTCAATTCTAGCGCTGGCGAAAAGTTGCTAAATTGCACGCACAATTACTACTTATGTAATGTAATGTAATAATACAAAAACTGTGTGCTTCAAGTACTTTTACGAGCTCGACACAAATTGTTACGCTCTATTCCGAATATAAATTGCCATATACCTAAGTGCGGATCTTTAAACGAAATTTCTTTCGGTTGTTTGAACTATCAGTATCGCAATTTAAAAAGTTGCCGGTTGCAGTAAATATTTGTCCTTCCTGCGGTAGTACTACTGAGAAAAGGGCAGAAAGATAATCACTCTCGTCAAAATTTTTTTATACAGCCATTCACACTGTTGATGCGCTCATTTAATTAAAACAGTATTTGACGTACATCAGATAAAGCTATTTGTAAAATCGGATAGAAAAGGCTCATGAATTAAACTTAAACATTGCTCTCGTCGCCCGGGTACTCTCCTTACTTATTGTGGTTTGTCTTTTTCAAACTGTCTGCGTTATGTGTATTCTATTATATAATTCTATAATGGTAATTATCTATATTAACCGAAAACCTATAAAGTATATAACAAGATGGGTGGTGGTGGTTGTGTCACTCGATTCGGCTCTCGGTTCGCTACCCATTTGTAACTCCACCCGCCACCCCGTTCATCACTCCTTTCCACTTTCGCTCGCACATTTCGTACTTTTCCTCTTCACCCGAAACACATCATATTCTTCAGCGCTAAACGTCTCTACATTTGAAAATATCGGCGAGGCATAGCTTTCGAGTCGATAATAACAACCCGATTCGTCTCTAAAATGCCAAATCCTCATTCCAATTCAGGCCGGCAGTCGCTATGCCATACGACCGCATGTTTCTTGTTTTCCACACGAGATATTTTGCCAACCCTAATATTGTCAGATAGAAAGCTGTCTGTTGTACTCTGATATCCACCATAGTCGCGCCAACTTATAAGATTGTAACCGTCAATGAGATCGTTGGAATGGGCTGGTTTGATGGCCACTGTTTGGTCCTTTAGCATCGCAGAGTTCATGGAATGTTTTTGGCATAAACCGAAACAGAACCACTCAAAAGAAGCTTGACGAGATACTGGTTCTGTTTGAAATAGTATTGATCCCGGCCTTTGCGATCTATCCAAGCGAAGCGAGAATATCAAAGTGCTTTCATGTGAGTAAGGTTAGAACCGATACCGGTGCGGGAAGGAAGGACATTTAGTGATAAAGGACTGACTGCTAGAGATATTGTCTTTGGCTTAACTTGATTATAGAAGTCCCCGGGGCGGATGGTGTCCACTATTATTATTATTATCACTTCAACGTGATGTCAAAACTCAAAAGTCTTTATTCACCCATTTGTTCGGATCTGCGGTCAAAGTCTCGGTCATTCGTACTTTCCCGCATGAAACAACAGATCCATCCCCTCATCACAAAAGCCGGGAATATTTGATGACGGACAAGTTCGACCGAATTTACGCAGTACACATTTCCGTAAGGAATGTGCATTTGAGTTGGTTCGATTATTCTTCGGGCCGCGTTTTGTCTTCCGCTAGAAATTCAAGAACTTTTTGCTTCTAATTCCAAATAATAAATTAGAACAAACTTTTGCCTGAAGCTCAACGGTAAAGTGAATCGAGATATTGTATGTAACAAAAAATTCGCTTTCACACTTAACCTAACTTATACCATCGCAATCCACTTTTTCCTCCAGTCATTGATAGAGCAGCGTGACAAAAGCTAAAACGTACACAAGATTACATGTTCCTCGTCCTTTACCTAATCGTCACCATCCTTTCTCCTGCGTTTCGACCTCTTCGATAGCGACAAATGTTTCTTCCACCCAGTCAATCATAACAATTACTTTTCACAATACATCCCCAAAATTGTCAACTGCATCATAAGCGATATCCCAATGCCCCACTGCAGCACTAATGGGTGTCATCACATTGGTAATAACCAAAGTGCAATGCCCAAAGTAACAGATTGACCTTAATCATAATCCAAGAGTTCACCGAAAATTTCAAGATCAGCCGCACCATGCAATAGAAATAATGGCCAGAGAAGGTAGTAACTAAATACCCAACAAAAAAGAGCCGTATTCACGCGAGATCCGTCTTTTGTGCGCAGTTTTAGAAAACGGCATAGCAGCCGTAAAAGAAATCGCCAATAGATGATAAGACATAACCAACAATTTTGGAACACAATTCAGCCGGCCCGAACGTGTAGTCGTCGTCTGATCCGTCCGTTAACGAAATTCGAATAATCCAGGATTAAGCTATAAAGCAAAGTGTAAAGGGAAATTGGTCGAAAGTGAATAATGTAAACTAATGTTTTGGGACAAAGACAACGCAAAAAGAAGAAATAAATCTAGAACTGATGTTCCGAGTGGTGATGTCTCCATTTACCTCATTGAATTCGGAAAGCGTAAACCTCTCAACGCCGAGGAGTGATCCAATACTAAGTATAAAAGACCTGTCGAAGAAAAAAAGAGGATATTCGTAATT